GGCGGCCGGGGGCTGAACTGGGGGAGGGGGATTTGGCGGGAAGCGCATCTACCGGACCTGCCCGACCCAGGGTTGGGATCTAAGAGGAATCGGGAGAACGCAGCGCGGGGGGCGGGGGGGACTTTTGATCAGTTGCAGGTCACAGAGAGAATGGGGAAAATTAGGGTGGGGTGAGAGGGAGGGGACTTGGAGTGAAATATCTTCAACCTGCAGCCCCAGTTTGAGGAGACTCATCAGAGGGTGAAATATGGAGCCAGTTCAAGGAGGGAAAAGGAGAACGGACTCTTGGGAGGGAAGCTCTTTCGCCTCAGAGAGTCTGGAAGTTGGGGTGATCATTCAGGATGGGGTGGGTGTGGGGTTGACGTGTTTGAGGACAGAGGTGGCAAATACCTAAGGTGGCGCCCGTAGGAGTGTGTTATCTGTGCAAGGGGGTGTCAGGACGATTTGGGGTGCAGTGTGGGAGGAAGACTCAACTTGTCAACTCTGAGAAATAGTGGAGGGACGCGACGGAAAGACCGGAAATCGACGTGAGGGGTGGAGCAGAAGGTGGCAACTTACGGTGTGGCGGTGGTTTGCCCTCCCCACACCACTTGAAGGGCCCGAAAAGCATACAGAACTAATGCTTATTGACATCAGGTGGTGAAGATAGTTTTGGTCAGGGATGGATGTTACCGAAACCCAAGGAGTTCGGAAAATGTGTGAGGTGAAGGGATGGGGCAATGCCGGAGGGGCTCATTCCGAGGCTGCATCCCCTTCCAGCAGGAATTCTGAAATCCCCACCACTTCCTCCTTCCGGGGGATTTGATCCCCCATGGCCACCGCTAACAGCATCATTGTGCTGGATGATGATGATGAAGATGAAGCAGCTGCTCAGCCAGGGCCCTCCCACCCACTCCCCAGTGCAGCCTCACCTGAGGCAGAAGCCCCGACCTCCTCTGAGCCTCATGGGGCCAGAGGACGCAGTAGTTCAGGAGGCAAGAAATGCTACAAGTTGGAGAATGAGAAGCTGTTCAAAGAGGTGAGCTTTAGCGGGGACATTTTTGTACCCCAGGGAGGGGGATGGCTGACTGGCTCTCCTGTCCTTTCTTCCCCACTAACCCCACCACCCCTTTCTCTCAACCCCTCCCCTTGTCTCTCTTTCCCTCCCTTCTTCCCCTGAACCTTCCAGTTCCTTGAACTTTGTAAGACGCAGACAGCAGACCACCCTGAGGTGGTCCCGTTCCTCTATAGCCGGCAGCAACGTGCCCACTCTCTGTTTTTGGCCTCGGCGGAGTTCTGCAACATCCTCTCTCGGGTCCTGTCTCGGGCCCAGAGCCGGCCCGCTAAGCTCTATGTCTACATTAATGAGCTCTGCACTGTTCTTAAGGCCCACTCAGCCAAAAAGAAGCTGAACTTGGCCCCTGCTGCCACCACCTCCCATGAGCCCTCTGGGAATAACCCTCCCACACACCTCTCCTTGGACCCCACAAATGCTGAAAGCACTGCCTCTGAGGCCCCAAGGACCCGTGGTTCCCGGCGGCAGATCCAGCGCTTGGAGCAGCTGCTGGCGCTCTATGTGGCAGAGATCCGGCGGCTGCAGGAGAAGGAGTTGGATCTCTCGGAATTGGACGACCCAGACTCCACATACCTGCAGGAGGCACGCTTGAAGCGGAAGCTGATCCGCCTCTTTGGGAGACTGTGTGAGCTGAAAGACTGCTCTTCACTGACGGGCCGCGTCATAGAGCAGCGCATCCCCTACCGTGGAACTCGCTACCCAGAGGTTAACAGGCGCATTGAGCGGCTCATCAACAAGCCAGGGCCTGATACCTTCCCTGACTATGGAGATGTGCTTCGGGCCGTGGAGAAGGCAGCTGCTCGCCACAGCCTTGGCCTCCCCCGACAGCGACTCCAGCTCATGGCTCAGGATGCCTTCCGAGATGTGGGCATCAAGTTACAGGAACGACGGCACCTTGATCTCATCTACAACTTTGGCTGCCACCTCACAGATGACTATAGGCCAGGTAGGGGGTTAATGGGATGTCTGTCAGTGACCTTTATATGTCAGGTATGAGGCGGATGGGGCTTCTCTCTAGTCCTTTCTAGGGTTTGTACTCTTCTAGGCCCTTCAAGGGCTGAGTGCTCTGACTTTATGTCTTCCCACGTAGGCATTGACCCTGCGCTATCGGATCCTGTGTTGGCCCGGCGCCTTCGGGAAAACCGGAGTTTGGCCATGAGTCGGTTAGATGAGGTCATCTCCAAATATGCAATGTTGCAAGACAAAAGTGAGGAGGGCGAGAGAAAAAAGAGAAGAGCTCGGCTCCAAGGCACCTGTTCCTACTCTGCAGACATCCCCAATGCCTCCTCGGATTCTGGTGAGGTGTGGATGGGGTACAGCCTTCAGAGAGACTTTCTCCTTCCCTGCACTGGCTACCAGGGAGTCCAGGTTGACTGATGGGGGAATATGAAAAGGAATGCAAGAATCAGACCCTCTGGGGCAAGGGATTCCTTAGAGAAACTTCTTTGTCCCCAGGGCCCTAGTGGAATGGCATCCCAGGGGTGCCCTTCCACCTCCAGAGCTGAGACAGATGACGAAGAAGATGAGGAAAGTGATGAGGAAGAGGACGAGGAGGAGGAGGAGGAGGAGGACGAGGAGGAGGAAGAAGAAGAAGATGAGGAGGAGGCCACAGATTCTGAAGAGGAGGAGGATCTGGAACAGATGCAGGATGGTCAGGAGGACGATGAAGAGGAGGAGGAAGAGGAAGAAGCAGGTAAGTCAAGGGAACATTATCCTCACCTGTCATTTCTGTTTTGTTAGGCATGAGCCACCTGTTTGAGACCTTCTCCTTCCTCCTCCTGGTGTCCTCTCAGCAGTATTTTTTTCCCCTTGTTCTCAAGCTACCCGCTCCCGTTTTCTTCTTTTCCAGATAAAGGTGGAGACAGGAGCCCCATGTCCTCACCACAGATCTCTACTGAAAAGAACCTGGAACCTGACAAAGAGATCAGCAGGTCTTCAGGGGAGCAGCAAAACAAAGGACTCACAGTGTCACCATCGTTACTGTCAGAAGAACCCCTGGCCCCCTCCAGCATAGATGCTGAAAGCAATGGAGAACAGCCTGAGGAGCTGGCCCTGGAGGAAGAAAGCCCTATGTCTCAGCTCTTTGAGCTAGAGATTGAAGCTTTGCCCCTGGATACCACCCCTTCCTCTGTGGAGACAGACGTTTCCTCTTCCAGGAAGCAGTCCGAGGACTCCCTCACCACTGTCTTAGAGAATGGGGCAGGCATGGTATCTTCTACTTCCTTCAATGGAGGCGTCTCTCCTCACAACTGGGGAGATTCTGGGCCCCCCTGCAAAAAATCTCGGAAGGAGAAGACGCAAACAGGATCAGGGCTGTTGGGAAACAGGTAATAACAACAGGAGGAGGAAGAGTCCCCTGCAAGGAGGGATTGCAGGGGACTTTCGGAGAGGAATATGGGGAAACTGAGTCTGTTGGGAGACACTGGACTGCTTCCCTCCAGCCTCAGTCTTCCTGTACCCCTCTACATATTTATGTTTCTGTTCCTAGCTGTGTGGAAAGGCAAAGGTCAGTGCATGAGAAGAATGGGAAAAAGATATGTACCCTGCCCAGCCCACCTTCCCCCTTGGCTTCCTTGGCTCCGGTTGCTGATTCCTCCACGAGGGTAGACTCTCCCAGCCATGGCCTGGTGACCAGCTCCCTCTGCATCCCTTCTCCAGCTCGGCTGTCCCAAACCCCTCAGTCACAACCTCCCCGGCCTGGAACTTACAAGGTAAGAAGGGGAGGCTGGGTTTCCTCTGATAATTTGTTCTTTTTCATTGTCTGTTTCAGCTGCACCCTTCACATCCTCTCTCTCCCTTTTTCCCACCCACGTTTTATCCTCTAAATCCTCCCGTCTGTTTCTTTTCCCCTGTACTGCATATCTCTCTGACTCTTTGTCTCTCACTCCCCTGCAGACAAGTGTGGCCACACAGTGTGATCCAGAGGAGATCATCGTGCTCTCAGACTCTGATTAGCTGCCTCCCCTTCTCCCTGCCTCCAAAATGTTTTGGGATAGCATTTGGAGGATGGTGGGAAGCAGATGACAGAGGAAGGAATGGACTGGGCTAATCCCCTGTTGGTGTTTCTTTAAAAAAAACAAAACAAAAAAAAAAAACTGAAGTTTTACACAGAAACATAAATAAACAATAAACTTCTTTTCTTATTGTATCACTGTCTATTCCTTCTGCTGACACAGATTGGCATTAGCTGTCCCTTTCCTTGCTCATGGTTTGCCCAATGTTCCCGGGGTAGGCCTGATCTGTCCTTTCTAACGTGGGTTTTTTTGTTTTTTTTTTTGGTCTCATCATATCACCCAGGCCAGAGTGCAGTGGTATGATCACAGTTCACTGCAGTCTGGACCTCCGGGTCTCAAGTGATAATGCCTCAGCCTCCCCAGTAGCTAGGACTACAGGCGCGCGCCACCCCGCCTTGCTAATTTTTGTTGTTTGTAGTTTTTGTAGGTACGGGGTTTCCCCATGTTGTTCAGGCTGTACTTTTTTTTTTAAGTGCTTCAGCCGCCTTAACGCACTTTACTTTTTCACTTCTTGCAGTTGGAGTGAAAAAGCCAATGAGAAGCGGACTCAAGGTTATTCGGCCAATCCAGGCCCGGAGACAGGGGGCGGGGCTTCAGGGGAGATGTCAGGAGCTAGGAAGAGGGCGATTAGATCCCACCAACCAGCTAATGGTCACAGCTCAGAGGCGGAGCCTGGGGAACGATGCCTGGCCCTGTCGCCAATGGGAAAAGGCAAGCTTATAGCTTTAAAGGGGAATAAATGCTTCGGCCGAACCAAGTCCTGAGTTCCCAGCGGAGGAGGGGACCTGATCCTTTAAGGTGGAATGAGGCGACGGTTCTTTAAAGGCAAAGTGGCCGAGTCGGCCGAGTATTGCCCAGCGGCACGGGCGGGGTGCCCGACTGTGCCTTTAAAGTCGGAGGGGCGGGAGGCGGAGCGGAGGCGGAGGGCGGAGGGAGTCGGCGCAAGATGGCGGCGGGAGGGGCCCAGGCTGCAGCTCTGGCCGCCGAGTGAGGGGCGGGGGGGGCCCGGGGGCGCGCGGCCCGGTAAGCGGGGACGCGCGAGGTTGGGGGGCGCCTTCCGGGTGGGAGAAGAGGCCGGGGTAGCGCTTGGGGCGGAGCGGGGGGGGCGGGGTCGGGTGTGGGCGGAGGTAGACAAGGGGCGGGGTCGAAAGGCCCGAAAGTGGGCGGGGCATGGGGCGAGCCTTTAAAGGGGCGGGGCTAGGTAGAAGCAGGGGCGAAAGGGGGCGTGGTCGGCGAGAGAGCTGGGGGGCATAGCCTGAGGGGAGATTGAGTAGGGTTGGTTTTCAGTAGAGGAGCTGCCCTGCCCCCTCCCAAAAAATGGGTACACGACGCCAAAAAGGTAGATTTTGGAATGTCAGGCTCTCAGGTAAATGGGAAATAGGGTATAATTCCGAAGGAAGGCACACCACTCCCTAAGAGCGCCTTATTTCTCTAACCTCCAAGGAAAGGGCTCAGGATTTGTCAGATACTTGTGTTTGCTAGCGCCGCCACTTACTGACTGTGTGACCTTGAATAATCTCTTAATCTTTCTGAGCCTTAGTTTCCTCCTCTGTTAAATGGGGTTGAGAGTAATACCTACCACACGGTTGTGGGGAATTACACAGATAAGTGTAAACGGGCTGTGTCGTTATGAGATGTTATCATTATTCTTTTCTCTTTTTTTTCCCAGAGACCCCCCCGGCCGCCCTCCTCCTTCCTTTGTTCCTGTGGCTGGGGGGGTATCCCCTCCCTCCACAACATGGAGCCATCTCCTTTGTCTCCCAGTGGGGCAGCACTCCCCCTGCCGCTGTCGCTGGCTCCACCCCCACTACCCCTGCCAGCAGCTGCAGTGGTACATGTGTCCTTCCCTGAGGTGACCAGTGCCCTCCTGGAGTCCCTCAATCAGCAGCGTCTTCAGGGCCAGCTCTGTGATGTGTCTATCCGAGTGCAGGGCCGGGAGTTCCGGGCTCATCGGGCTGTTCTGGCTGCCTCCTCCCCTTACTTCCATGATCAGGTCCTACTCAAGGGCATGACCTCCATCTCGCTGCCCAGTGTCATGGACCCAGGCGCCTTCGAGACTGTCCTGGCCTCCGCTTACACTGGCCGCCTTAGCATGGCTGCTGCTGACATTGTCAACTTCCTCACAGTGGGGTCTGTGCTCCAAATGTGGCACATTGTGGACAAATGCACTGAACTACTCCGAGAAGGCCGGGCCTCAGCTACCACCACCATCACTACTGCTGCAGCCACCTCTGTCACGGTCCCTGGTGCTGGGGTCCCATCCGGGAGTGGGGGCACTGTGGCCCCTTCTACCATGGGCTCTGTGCGCTCCCACGCCTCCAGCCGAGCCAGTGAGAATCAGTCTCCCAGCAGCAGCAACTACTTCAGCCCCAGGGAGTCCACTGATTTCTCATCTTCCTCCCAAGAGGCATTTGCAGCTTCTGCAGTGGGCAGTGGGGAGCGTCGAGGAGGTGGCCCTGTATTCCCAGCCCCTGTCGTTGGCAGTGGGGGCGCCACCTCTGGAAAGCTGCTGCTGGAGGCAGATGAGCTGTGTGATGACGGTGGGGATGGAAGGGGGGCAGTGGTCCCTGGGACTGGGCTCAGGAGACCCACCTACACACCCCCTAGCATCATGCCACAGAAACACTGGGTATACGTGAAGCGAGGTGGTAATTGCCCAGCACCAGCACCCCTGGTTCCCCAAGACCCAGATCTGGAGGAGGAAGAAGAGGAGGAAGACCTGGTGTTGACCTGTGAGGATGATGAAGACGAAGAGCTAGGGGGTAGCTCCAGGGTTCCACCTGGGGGAGGGCCTGAGGCTACCCTCAGCATAAGTGATGTCCGTACCCTGAGTGAGCCCCCAGACAAGGGGGAGGAGCAGGTCAACTTCTGTGAGTCCTCCAATGACTTTGGCCCCTATGAGGGTGGGGGTCCTGGAGCAGGTCTTGATGACTCAGGGGGGCCAACTCCCTCTTCCTATGCCCCCTCCCACCCTCCTCGACCGCTCCTTCCCTTGGACATGCAGGGCAACCAGATCCTGGTCTTCCCGTCGTCTTCATCCTCCTCACAGGCTCCTGGCCAACCACCAGGGAACCAAGCAGAACACGGGGCAGTGACCCTGGGGGGCACGTCGGTGGGGGGCCTGGACGTGCCGGGTAGCGCTGGTGGGGTCCCTGGAAGAACTGGCAGCGGGGACGGGAATAAGATCTTTCTGTGCCATTGTGGGAAGGCCTTCTCCCACAAGAGCATGCGGGACCGGCACGTGAACATGCACCTCAATCTGCGGCCCTTTGACTGCCCGGTGTGCAACAAAAAGTTCAAGATGAAGCACCATCTGACTGAGCACATGAAGACGCACACAGGTCTCAAGCCCTATGAGTGCGGTGTCTGCGCCAAGAAGTTCATGTGGCGGGACAGCTTCATGCGCCACCGAGGACACTGTGAGCGCCGGCACCGCCTGGGTGGCGGCGGGGCTGGACCTGGGCCTGGGACGCCCACGGGGCCATCCTTGCCGGCCAAGAGAGAATCCCCCGGAACCGGTGGGGGCAGCGGCGACGAGGCGAGTGCGGCCACGCCGCCGTCCAGCAGACGAGTGTGGTCCCCACCCAGCGTCCACAAGGTGGAGATGGGCTTCAGTGGAGGCGGAGGAGCAAACTGAAGGGGCAGCCTACTGGGGTGGGGGTAGCTTTCGGGGAAGAGGGAATAAGCACGATCCAAGGGCGCTTTGGCCCCCGGCGGGTCTCCCACCACAATTACTGTCTTCCTTTATCTCTATGGACTTGTATATATGCTGGAAGGGGAACCACAGTTGCACCATCGCCTGCCCATTCTACTCCTCAACCCCTCCCTCCCAAGGAATTTCTGGAACTAAGCCCTTCCTTTCCCTCTGATGGGTACACGGAAGCCCCGGCTCCACAGAGTAGGGTGCATATGGAGGGAGGGAGAGGGGGCGTGTTGAGCATCCTGCAGTCACAGGGTCAAGGGTCAGGTGGTTGTAGTCTGTGCCTGAAGTCTGTGTTTGTGTTGTCATGGGGACCAGGCCTTTGAGCCCCACCCTTGTCCTGAAACCTACCCCCTCTCAAGGATGTGCTCTTTATTTCTACCCTGTCTCCCCACCCACCCCACCTCCTGGGGAAATCCCCAACTCGGTTCTCTTGGAGGAGTGGGTGGAGACAAGGAGGGAGTAAGTAGTAGTACAAGGTTTTTATTTTTTTTAACAGTGATTAAAATATTTATTGGTCATTTACTTGGCTTCCCGACAACCCATGTGTTTGCTGGGGACGCGGCACAGGTGGGAGAAAACCGTAGTAATGGTTCTCGGGAAAGCGGATGCTGGAGGGCACACACAGGAGCGGCTGGGGGTGCTGGGTTTGGGGAGGGCTCAAACTCGTGGCTGCTGGGTGGTCCAGGAGGGCAAGGCTGGGGTGTCCTGACGAGAACTGAAGAGTCTCTTCCTGGATCCCTGCCTGGTCAGCAGGGAAACACCGGTCTCCCAGGCACCCACACCTAACCAGAGCGGGGATTTCCACCGCCTGTCGCCCTTTGGAGGAAAGTGAAAGTGAAAGGAGGAAGAGGAGGCTTCATGGCTGAGGAGATCGCAGCGCCATGAAGTCCCTGTCTCTGGTCCTCGCTATGGCTTTGGGTGAGCGAACCCCGCGACTCATCGCCCAAGAACTGGAGGGAGGTGGCCCCACTGGCGCGGACGCCAGAGTGGGAGTGGGCAGGTCACCAGACATCTAAGCCGCCCCTCGCTTGCGCCCCTATGTGCTAGGCCTGGCGACCGCCGTCTCGGCAGGACCGGCGGTGATCGAGTGTTGGCTCGTGGAGGATGCGAGCGGAAAGGGCCTGGCCAAGAGACCTGCTGCACTGCTGTTGCGCCAGGGGACTGGGGGACCGCCGCCCCGGCCGGACCTCGACCCTGAGCTCTACCTCAATGTGCACGGTGAGTCTTTAGGGACTCGCCGCACCCCCCCACCCCGTACGTCTGTCACCTCCACAGAAACCCCCTCCTCTTTACATCGGGCAGTGACCTCGAGGCCTCAGCTTCCCCCTCTATAAAGTGAGTCTCATTATGGGGTAGTCTGTACGTTTGAAGTGCGGCGAACCCTGCCCTTCCAGCCCCCTTCCCGCCCTTGACTCTACAGCGGCAACTTCCTTCTCTACACTCAGACCCCGCGGGCGCCCTCCAGGCTGCCTTCAGGCGGTACCCCCGGGGCGCGCCCGCGCCACACTGCGAGATGAGCCGCTTCGTCCCTCTCCCTGCCTCTGCGAACTGGGCCAGCCGCCTGACCCCGGAACAGAACTGCCCGCGGGCCCTGGATGGGGCTTGGCTGATGGTCAGCATGTCCAGCCCAGTCCTCAGCCTCTCCAGCCTTTTGCGACCACAACCAGCGCCTCAGCAGGAGCCTGTTCTCATCACCATGGCAACAGGTAGCTGGGGAGGGGAGGTGGAGAAGGATGGGTAGATTCTAAGGGTCCAGATCAGCTGGTGGACTCGCTTTATGGACTTGAGCGAGACATTTCGCCAATCGGGGTTCCGTTTCCTTTTTTAGTTAAGAGAGATGGTTTGGCTAGAATCAATCTGTACTGCTCCTTCTAGCCCTCGCCCAGTTAAAAAAAACAACAACAACAAAAATTGCGACTGGGAGGGGAGGAGGTGACTTTGTAGTGTTTCTAAGGGCGGGGCTTTGGAAAGGTGGGGTTTCTCTACACCAGACCTTGAGAGACGTGTCAGGTGATGCGAGGTGGGAGGAGTCCAGAAGCAGGAGCGTTTTTTCTCTGCTCCTCCCAGATCTGTATCTTGCTAGGCACCCTCTGCTTTGAGGTTCACTCCATTTCGAAAACCGTAGCCCCACCTGCGCCCACACCCGGCGCTGCGGCAATCTGCAAAGCAAAGGCTCTTGCACTCTAGCGCGTGGACCTTCCCTGACAGCCGCTTTTGGTGATGTGCTGCCCCTCTGTGGTCCGCAAACAAGTGGGCTCGAGTGGGCGGAGCGAGGCGGCGGGAGATCAGATGGTTCCTATTGTATTAAAGGGTGCATTGCAGTTTGAGGCCCAGGGGTCGGTTGCTTTGCTGGGCTGGGACGCGGGAGGGAGTGTGCAGATAATTCAAGAATAAGGAGGATCTGACCCTGCACCCTCCCTCCTCTCCACCCTCCTCACTGAGTATGACCCACAGAACCAGGGAGACAGACGCGAACCCCACACTGAAACCCTCACCTTTGCCTATACCTCCATTCTTAGTTTTAAGCCCGAAACCTGGCAGAAGCTGAGGAACACCACTCTTGTGTAGACAGGCGCTGTCTGGGGTCAGGGCTGAGGGGAAAAATATTTCCTAGGGCTACCAGCTTCACGGAGGTGATGATGAGAATGCTTTGCTTTCTGAGTTTGTTTTTCCAGCTGTAAAATGTAGGTACTATTTCCCAGCTGCCTTTCTTGTTGTGACTATCAAGAGAGGCACTGTGTTAATTTATTCATTGATTCAATAAATACTTATTAGCACCAAGAATGAGTTAGAACTCAGTAGTTCTCAGTACAGGCTGCAAATAAGAATCACGTTGGGCCTGGGTGCCATGGCTCACATCTGTAATCCCAGCACTTTGGGAGGCTGAGGCAGGTGGATTACCTGAGATCAGGAGTTTGAGACCAGCTTGGCCAACATGGTGAAACCCAATGGGTTTTTCTACTAAAAGTACAAAAAAAATTAGCCAGGCATAGTGGCGTGCGCATATAGTCTCAGCTTCTTGGGAAACTGAGGCAGGAGAATCACTTGAACCTGGGAGGTTGCAGTGAGCCAAGACTGCACCACTGCACTCCAGCCTGGGTGACTCTGTCTCGAAAATAAAAATAATAAAAAAGGCAGGAAGTTTCTAAAATACACTGAAACCTGAGTCAATCCATGTTGGGCTGGGCTGATTAAATCAGAATCTCTGGGATGGCCTTGGGTACTCTTCAGGGTCACAAAGACGATCTGATGTAGATTCTGCTCTCCAGGAGGTTCCAGGCAGCTTTGCCACAGATAGTCCTAATGTAAAGTAAAAAGTGAAGGACGTGCAGACAGGGAGCCCTGGAAGTACCCCGGTGGGTTAAATTGCCTGTATCTCACGGACAACTGGGGTGACAGCAAGTTGCTGTGCCATTTATTTATTTATTTTGGAGATAGAGTCTCACTCTGGCTGGAGTGCCATGGCACGATCTTGGCTCACTGCAACCTCCGCCTTCTGAGTTCAAGCAATTCTTCTGCCTCAGCCTCCCAAGTAGCTGGGATTACAGGCATTAACCACCATGCCTGGCTAATTTTTTGTAGAGACAGGGTTTCATGGCCGAGCTCAGTGGCTCACACCTGTAATTCCACCACTTTGGGAGACTGAGGCAGGCGTATCACGAGGTCAAGAGATTGAGACTATCCTGGCCAACACAGTGAAACCCCGTCTCTACTAAAAATACAAAAATTAGCTGGTCGTGGTGACGCAAGCCTGTAGTCCCAGCTACTTGGAGGCTGAGGCAGGAGAATCGCTTAAAAAAAAAAAACAACCCGGGAGGCAGAGGTTGCAGTGAGCCGGGATTGTGCCATTGCGTTCCAGCCTGACAACAGAGCAAGACTCCATCTCAAAAAAAAAAAAAAGAAAAAGAGAGATAAGGTTTCACTATATTGGCCAGGCTGGTCTAGAGCTTCTGACCTCATGATTCACCCACCTTGGCCTCCCAAAGTGCTGGGATTATAGGCGTGAGCCACTGTGCCCGGCCCTATTTATTTAGTTTTGAGACGGCATCTCCCTCTTGTCATCTGGGCTGAAGTGCAGTTGCAGTGGCACAAGCTTGGCTCACTGCAAACTCTACCTCCCAGGTTCAAGCAATTCTCTTGTCTCAGTCTTCAGAGTAGCTGGGATTACAGGCGCCTGCCACCACACCCGGCTGATTTTTGTATTTTTGGTAGAAACAGGGTTTTGCTACGTTGGCCAGGTTGGTCTCAAACTCCTGACCTCGGGTGATCCACCTGCCTCAGCCTCCTAAAGTGCTGGGATTACACGTGGGAGCCACCATACCCAGCAGACAAATATATTTTCTTATTTATTTATTTATTTGAGACAGGGTCTCACTCATGCCCAGGCTGGTATGCAGTGCAGGCCGGAGAGCAGTTATGTGATCTAAGCTTACTGCAACCTCCACCTCGATGGCTCAAATGATTTTCATGCCTCAGCCTCCTGAGTAGCTGGGACCACCAGCATGTGCCACCATGCCCAGCAAATTTTTGTAATTTTTTTTTGTAGAGATGGGATTTTGTCAGGTTGCCTAGGCTAGTCTTGAACTCAATTGATCCGCCCACCTTGGCCTCCCAAACTGCTGGGATTACAGGTGTGAGCTGCCTGGCCCCAAATATGTTTTCTAATTCTCACCATTCTTTGTTTTTTCTTTTTTTCGAGACAGAGTCTTGCTCTGTTGCCCAGGCTGGAGTGTAGTGGTGTGATCTTCGCTTACTGCAACCTCCGCTTCCCAGCTTCAAGCAATTCTCCTGCCTCAGCCTCCCAAGTAGCTGGGATTACAGGCATGCGCCACCACACCCAGCTAATTTTTTGCATTTTAAATAGAGACGAGGTTTCACTATGTTGGCCAGGCTGGTCTCAAACTCCTGACCTCAGGCAATCCACCTGCCTCAGACTCCCAAAGTTCTCGGATTACAGGAATGAGCCACTGCACCTGGCCTAATTTTTGTATTTTTAATAGAGACGGGGTTTTACCATGTTGGCCAGGCCGGTCTCGAACTCCTGACCTCAAGTGATCAGCCTCCCTTCGCCTTCCAAACTGCTGGGATTAAAGGGGTGAGCCCCTGTGATGCGCGGCCTGTGGATCTTTTTTTTTTTTTTTTTTAAAGATGAAGTTTCACTCTTGTTGCCCAGGCTGAAGTACAATGGTGCGATCTCGGTTCACAGCAACCTCCGCCTCCCAGGTTCAAGTGATTCTCCTGCCTCAGCCTCCCAAGTAGCTGGGATTATAGGCATGCACCACCATGCCCGGCTACTTTTTTTTTTTTTTTTTTTTTTGAGGTGGAGTCTCACTCTGTCGCCCAGGCTAGAGTGCAGTGGTGTGATCTCAGTTCACTTCAGTCTCCCCTCCCAGGTTCAGACGATTCTCCTGCCTCAGCCTCTCAAGTAGCTGGGACTACAGGTACCCACCACCAAGCCTGACTAATTTTTATATTTTTAGTAGAGACAGGGTTTCACCGTATTGGCCAGGCTGGTCTTGAACTCTTTTTTTTTTTTTTTTTTTTTTTTTTTTGAGACGGAGTTTGCTCGTTACCCAGGCTGGAGTGCAATGGCGCGATCTCGGCTCACCGCAACCTCTGCCTCCTGGGTTCAGGCAATTCTCCTGCCTCAGCCTCCTAAGTAGCTGGGATTACAGGCACGCGCCACCACGCCCAGCTAGTTTTTTGTATTTTTAGTAGAGACGGGGTTTCACCATGTTGACCAGGATGGTCTCGATCTCTTGACCTCGTGATCCACCCGCCTCGGCCTCCCAAAGTGCTGGGATTACAGGCTTGAGCCACCGCGCCCAGCTGGTCTTGAACTCTTAACCTTGTGATCCACCCACCGCAGCATCACAAAGTGCTGGGATTATAGGTGTAAAGCCACTGTGCCCAGCCTAAATTTGTATTTTTAGTAGAGATGGGTTTCTCTATATTGGTCAGGCTGGTCTCAAACTCCTAACCTCAGGTGATCCGCTCACCTCAGCCTCCCAAAGTGCTGGGATTATAGGCCTGAGCTCCTGAGCCCAGCCTGTGGATCTTGTTTTTAACAATTCAGAAGCATGTTTCTGGATTGTGACAAATTAAGCGAAATTGCATACTTTGCTTTACTCTACTGAACAGTTCCATGAAGCTGAGAACAGTTTCACCTTATAGGCCTCAGAAGCTAGAATTTAAAAGAACATAAAGATAATTATAAAAAGAAAAAGATTACTTCTACCTGAAGGACCTAGACATTTCTGGGAAGAAACAGAGATGAAAGTGACCTTAAAGTACATGAAGCATTTAGATCAGGGGTGTCCAATTTTTGGCTTCCCAAAGCCACATTGGAAGAAGATTAATTTTCTTGAGCCACACATAAAATACATGAACACTACGATGGCTGATGAGCTTAAAAAAAAAAAAAAAAAAAAAAAAAAATCGTGAAGGCTGGGCGCCATGGCTCACGCCTGTAATCCTAGCACTTTGGGAGGCTGAGGCGGGTGGATCACGAGGTCGAGAGATAAGACCATCTTGGCCAAGATGGTGAGACTTCCATCTCAAAAAAAAAAAAAAAAAAAAATCAAGAAAAATATAATGGCCGGGCACGGTGGCTCAAGCCTGTAATCCCAGCACTTTGGGAGGCCGAGGCGGGTGGATCACAAGGTCGAGAGATCGAGACCATCCTGGTCAACATGGTGAAACCCCGTCTCTACTAAAAATACAAAAAACTAGCTGGGCGTGGTGGCGCGTGCCTGTAATCCCAGCTACTCAGGAGGCTGAGACAGGAGAATTGCCTGAACCCAGGAGGTGGAGGTTGCGGTGAGCCAAGATCGCGCCATTGCACTCCAGCCTGGGTAACAAGAGCAAAACTCCGTCTCAAAAAAAAAAAAGAAGAAAGAAAAATATAATGTTTTAAGAAAAATTATGAATTTGTGTTGGGCTGCATTCAAAGCCATCCTTGGTCGCATGTGGCCTGTGGGCTGGAGGTTCAACAAGCTTGATAGATGTTTGGGAGAAAATGGGAAAGACATTGTAAACTGAAGGGACCTCATGACCAAAGCAAAGAGATGCTCAGTGATGAGCACTTCTACTAGGCACACGAAAGGGGTTCTATGTGGCTGGTTGGTAGGATACAGGAGAAGTCTGGAAGGGTGGCCTAGGGGCTGAATGTGCAAATACCTTGAAAGCTGGGCTTTGTTCTCTAGATATGAGTGAGCCATCAAAAGTTTTTTTGAAGGGTGAGTCATTCTAAAAAGCCTTTTTTAAAAAAAATTATGTATTTATTTTTTGAGATGGAGTGTCGCTTGTTGCTCACACTAGAATGCAATGGAGCAACCTTGGCTCATTGCAACCTCCGCCTTCTGGGTTCAAGCAATTCTCCTGCCTCAGCCTTCTGAGTAGTTGGGATTACAGGCACCGCCACCAACCCCAACTAATATTTTTTTGTATTTTTAGTAGAGATGGGTTTCATCATGTTGGCTAGGCTGGTCTCGAACTCCTGACCTCAGGTAATTCACCCTCCTCAGCCTCCCAAACTGCTGGGATTACAGGCATGAGCCACTGCACCCGGAAAAGGCCTGTTATTTTACCTTTCTTTTTTTTTTTTTTTTAAGATAGGCAAGAATCAGATCATTGGACTAGTGAGGAAAATATAGGTTGATTTTCCCAAGTTAACCAGTGAATCCACGACAATGATGAAGGTAATGAAAATAGTAACAGCTAACATTTATTGAGCATTTTCTTTATGTCAGGCCCTGTTCTAGGCACTTTATACACATAATCTCACTTATTCCTCTCAACAACCATAAGCTATTATTATGGTTATTAATATTATTAATATTGAAAAATAATTTCAATATTATTCCTATATTGTAGACAAAGAAATATGAGACACAAACCAGTTAAATGATTTACCCAAGGACACCCAGTGTGTAAGAAGCAGGGCTAGAAATTGAACACAGGCCATGTAGCTTCAGCCTATGCCCTTTATCAGCAGATTTCCAAGGTATTTGGGAATTTTATTTTATTTTATTTTTTTGAGACAGAGTCTCACTCACCCAGCCTGGAGTGCAATGGCATGATTTCAGCTCATCGCAACCTCCACATCCCTGGTTCAAGTGATTCTTTTGCCTCAGCCTCCCAAGTAGCTGGGACTACAGGCGCACGCCACCATGCCCAGCTAATTTTTGTATTTTTAGTAGAGACCAAGTTTCACCATGTTGGCCAGGCTGGTCTTGAACTCCTGACCTCAGGTGATCCACCTGACTTGGCCTCCCAAAGTGCTGGGATTACAGGCGTGAGCCACCATTCCCTGCGTATTTGGGATATTTGAACAGGCAAGTGATGGGATCAGACTTGTAGTCACCTTGTTTGGCTACAGCGTGAAAGAGGAGTTGAAGGAGAGAGAGACTGAGAACAGAAAGCCCAGACAGGAGGGCTGTTGAATTGTCCAAATGTACGTTGATGAGAACCTGAATTGGAAGCAGATATGAGATGTTAGGTCCTGGTGGAGATAGCACATAGCATGTTATTTTTGACAATTTGCTTGTCTATCATTGGACTGTAGGTAATTTGAGGGCAGGGACTCCCTGTCTTGTTCACCACTCTGTCGTCTACCAGGACACCTTGAACATCTTCAGTGTTCAATAGTCGCTGAATGAAGAAATGAGTCTGAGTAACTTCAAGGGTGTGCTTTTAGTGTCTGGCAGGCTTGGTGATTATTCATCAAAGGCAGGGAAGATAGGCATTGGAGCAGGGTGGGGAATGTTGCAGAGATGCTGTTGACTTGGGGTATGCTAAGTTAGGTGTAACTACAGCAAACACGTGTGTAGACTTACTGTGTTCCAGTGTTCTAAGCGCCCTTCATATGTAGGTGTCTCTGTTATCTAAAATTGGGAACTGAATAGATTTGAGTAGCAAGAGGTATTAATGATTTAACCCTCACAATAACCTTATGAAGTAGGTACTATTATTATCATCATCTTTTAATTTTAGAAATCAGAAGGCTAGACCAGGCATGGTGGCTCATGCCTATAATCTCAGCACTTTGAGAGGCCGAGACAGGCAGATCACCTGAGGTCGGGAGTTCAAGAACAGCCTGCCCGACATGGAGAAACCCCATCTCTACTAAAAATAAAAAAAATTAGCTGAGTGTGGTGGCACATGCCTGTAATCCCAGCTACTTGGGAGGCTGAGGCAGGAGAATCGCTTGAACCTAGGAGGCAGAGGTTGCAGCCAGCCGAGATCACACCACTGCACTCCAGCCTGGGCAACAAGAGTGAAACTTTGTCTCCAAAAAAAAGCAGGATTAGGAAGCTGAGCCATGGCAAAATGAAGTGGCCCAAGGCCATATAATAAGCTGCAGAGGGGAAATGAACCAGGTCAGCCAGGCTCCAGGCGCTTAGCCACTGCACTGTACTGCTCCAGTAGAGCAGAGAGGTCTGTAATCAGGTCTAGACTAGAGCTAGAACCTTCTAGAGTCTGTAAATATTCTGTATAGCACCACAGGACTGACAGTCATGGCTCAATCCTTGTCTTCGTCAGTAATCAAGAAAGGCCTGCTTTCTCAAGGCTGGTGCTTGGAGACTAGAGTGGTTCAGGTTGTGTCACAAGTGCCTTCAGACTCTGCAGTCCCCAGAGCGTGAGTGGGCTATATGTTCAGAGCAGGCTTCAAAGGCCATACCCCCTTATTGCCCATACTCACCACCCCTAGACATCTCTGCCCACCCTCAGTCACACTAGGTCCCACCCAGTCCCAGAGCAAAAGGAGTTTGCAGGGAGGGCTAGGAGATGGTGAGTATCAGAAAAGGTGTCCTCTGAGGGGTGGGTAAACTGCAGTTTGGTCCTCCCCAATAACTGCATTTCTTTTTTTTCCTTCTTTCTCTCCCTCATCCCCGTCTTCCTCAGTGGTACTGACCGTCCTCACCCACACCCCTGCCCCTCGAGTAAGACTGGGACAAGATGCTATGCTGGACTTGAGCTTTGCCTACATGCCCCCCACCTCTGAGGCTGCCTCATCTCTAGCTCCGGGTCCCCCTCCCTTTGGGCTAGAGTGGCGACGCCAGCACCTGGGTAAGGGACATCTGCTCCTGGCTGCAACTCCTGGGCTGGATGGGCAGATGCCAGCAGCCCAAGAAGGGGCAGTGGCATTTGCTGCTTGGGATGATGATGAGCCATGGGGCCCATGGACCGGAAATGGAACCTTCTGGCTGCCTAGAGTTCAACCCTTTCAGGAGGGCACCTATCTGGCCACTGTACACCTGCCATACCTGCAAGGACAGGTCACCCTGGAGCTTGCTGTGTACAGTGAGTAGGGGGACGGAGTCTCCAGGGGTAGAGGGTGGGCACTGGATTGTGGGTACTGTGATGGGGGCAGGATGATAGAGAAGAGGGTGCCTGGGTGAGTGAGTAGAGATAGAAAGGGGTTCCTGGGAGTCAGAGGGATAATGGGAGGCTAGAAGGTTCCTGGGAATTTGAGGGGCTTTGGCATGGGTATTCCTGTGATGCACCAATGGAGAGACAGTGAGTTCCCCATCATAGAAGAAACCCAACCTTCTTTAGCTCTGAGGAAACCAGAAGGCAAACTGAGTGTCTTTTAGGGAGGACAGTATGGACTAATTTCCCCATGCTCATTTCCTTCTCTTTTCTCAGAACCCCCGAAAGTGTCCCTGATGCCAGCACCTCTTGCATGGGCCGCCCCCGGGGAGGCACCCCCAGAGTTGGTCTGCCTTGTGTCCCACTTCTACCCTTCTGGGGGCCTGGAGGTGGAGTGGGAGCTCCGGGGTGGGCCAGGGGGCCGCTCTCAGAAGGCCGAGGGGCAGAGGTGGCTGTCAGGCCTGCGCCACCATTCTGATGGCTCTGTCAGCCTCTCTGGGCACTTGCAACCACCCCCAGTCACCACTGAGCAGCATGGGGCACGATATACCTGTCGAATCCACCATTCCAGCCTGCCTACCTCGGGGCGCAGTGCTGAGGTCACCTTGGAGGTAGCAGGTAAGAGCTGGGAGCTCTGGGAGCCTGAGCCAGCACCTGGGAAGACAGGAGCTCACTCTCACCCCTTCTGCTTGCCAGGTCTCTCAGGACCCTCCCTTGAGGACAGCGTAGGCCTTTTCCTGTCTGCCTTTTTTCTGCTTGGGCTCATCAAGGCGCTGTGCTGGGCTGGTGAGTGTGAGCCCCACCCTGACCATGACCTGAGGCTGGTGAACTTTCCCCACCTACTCCAAGGAGCCTGACACCCATCCCTCCACCTTCCCCCTGTACCACTCTACCATCCAATCCCTTCTCAATTTTTTCCCACAGCTGTCTACCTGTCCACCTGCAAGGATGCAAAGGAGAAGGTACAGTGCTCCACCTCTCTGTGTCTTTCCCTTGTCATTTTATCTCCTTGTCCTATCTCAAAACCCATGGAGGGAGGCTGCTGGTGCTGTAGGCGAAACCCAGGCTTGGAATTCACACTGATCTGGGTTAAAACCTGGCACTAGGTTGGGCGTGGTGGCTCACACCTATAATCCAAGCACTCTGGAGGCCAAGGTGGGCAGATCACCTGAGGTCAGGAGATCAAGACCAGCCTGACCAACATGGTGCAACCCCGTCTTAAAAAAAAAAAAACAACAAAAAAACCCCTGGCACTATATCCTAACTGTAGGACTCTTTGAGCATGCTATTTAATCTCTATCTGTTTCCTGGGGTGTAGGGATTTAAAAAAATTACGTAGGCAGTGCTGTCCATTAGAAAGATAATGCAAGCCACATATGTAAATTTAAATAATCTAGTAGTCACATTAAAAAAATAAGCAGAAACAGGTAAAATTAACTTAATAATATACCTTATTTAATAATTCTCCTCCCTTATCTGAAATACTTAGAAAAAGAAGTGTTTTTGGATGTTGGATTTTTTTTCAGACTTTGGAATATTTGCATATATATATATAATGAGATATCTTCTGAATCAGACCCAAATCTAAACACACAATTCATTTATGTTTCCTATATGCCTTATACACATAGTCTGAAGTTTTTGTTTGTTTGTTTGTTTGAGACAGTCTTGCCGTGTAGCTAGGCTGGAGCGCAGTGGTGCGATCTCAGCTCACTGCAACCGCCACCTCCTGGGTTCAAGTGATTCTTGTGCCTCAGCCTCTCAAGTAGCTGGGATTACAGGCATGTGGCACCACACTCAGCTAATTTTTGTATTTTTTGTAGAGACAGGGTTTCACCATGTTGGCCAGGCTGGTCTCAAACTCCTGGCCTCAAATGATCCACTTTGGGAGGCTTCTGCCTCCCAAAGTGCTAGGATTATAGGCATGAGCACTGTGCCCAATCTTTATACAATTTTTTTTTTTTTTTTTGAGACAGAGTCTTACTGTGTCGCCAGGCACCAGGCTGGAGTGCAGTGGCACGATCTTGGCTCACTGCAACGTCCGCCTCTTGGGTTCAAGCGATTCTCCTGCCTCAGCCTCCTGAGTAGCTGGGACTACAGGTGCATGCCACCACGTCCAACTAATTTTTGTATTTTTTTTAAGTAGAGACAGGGTTTCACCATGTTGGCCAGGATGGTCTCGATCTCTTGACCTCGTGATCCACCCGCCTGGACCTCCCAGAGTGCTGGGATTATAGGCGTGAGCCACCGCGCCCAGCCTATAATTTTTATTTTTTCAGACTGCTGGAGTGCAATGGGTGATCTCGGCTCACTGCAACCTCTACCTCCTTCAAGCAATTCTTCTGCCTTGGCATCCGAAGTGGTTGCGGCATCCAGCAAGACGCCCGGCTAATTTTTCGTATTTTTAGTAGAGACAGAGTTTTGCCATGTTGATCAGGCTGGTCTCGAACTCCTGACCTTAGGTGATCCACCTGCCTCCGCCTTCCAAAGTATTGGGATTACAGGCGTGAGCCACCGCACCCAGCCACAACATTTCTTTTTTATTTTTTAACACAATGTAAACCAAACACAATATTTTTAATAATATATGTGACCCACCACATGAGGGCAGGTGTGGAATTTTCCACTTGTGGCATCATGTTGGCACTAAAAAATTTTCAGGTTTTGGACCATTTCGGATTTTAGATTTTTGGATTGGCGGTGCTCAACCTGTACATCCAAAATATTCTTTGGACATGTAAACAATATAAGAAATTACAGGCCAGGCACAGTGGCTCACGCCTGTAATCCCAACAATTTGGGAGGCCAAGGCAGGTCTCAGGATCACCTGAGGTTGGGAGTTCAAGACTAGCCTGACCAACATGGAGAAACCCCATCTCTACTAAAAATACAAAATTAGCTGGGCATGGTGGTACATGTGTATAATCCCAGCTACTCAAGAGGCTGAGGCAGGAGAATTGCTTGAACCTGGGAGGCGTAGGTTGTGGTGAGCCCAGATCTTAGCACCACACTCCAGCCTGGGCAACAAGAGTGAAACTCTGTCTCCAGAAAAAAAAAAAAAAAGTCTTGACCAGTCATGTTGGTTCATGCCTCTAATACCAGCACTTCAGGAGGCTGAGGTGGGTGGATCACTTGAGGTCAGGAGTTCGAGACTATGTGCATCTCAACTGCCTTCTAATATCCTGAATTCCTCACCACCTTCTTCTCTTCCAGAAAGCAGAGTGAGGGCACTCACCACCATCCTGTGGAAGCCACCATCAACTCTGGCCCAAGCTTCTGCAGTAGCTCCCCAAAATAATACCCATCATCTGCTCCTATTCCCTCCAATCTTCCTCCACTGAGTGACTAGAATGCTTTTTTTTTTTAAACTGTGCAAGGGAGAAATTTTTTTTTTTTTTTTTTGAGATGGAGTCTTGAGTTGCCCAGGCTAGAGTGCAGTGGAGCAATCTCCGCTCACCACAACCTCCACCTCCTGGGTTCAAGCGATTCTCCTGCCTCTTAAGTAGCTGGGATTACAGGCACACGTCATACCACCAGCTGATTTTTGGATTTTTAGTAGAGATGGGGTTTTGCCATGTTGGCCAGGCTGGTCTTGGACTCCTGACCTCAGGTGATCTACCCCTCTGGGCCTTCAAAGTGGTGGAATTACAGGCATGAGCCACCGCACCCGGCCCGGGAAATGCTTTTTTGAAAAACACAAACCTTATGGCATTCACCTTCTTGGAGCTCTAGGGCAGTGGTTCTTAAGATTTTTTTTTCTCTCAGTACCTCTTAAAAATCATCAAGGGAGGATGGGTGCGGTGGCTCACGCCTGTAATCCTAGCAATTTGGGAGGCCGAGATGGGTGGATCACCTGAGGTCAGGAGTTCAAGACCAGCCTGGCCATCATGGTGAAACCCCATCTTAAAAAAAAAAAAATCTTAATCTCGCATACCCCCTGACATAGTCTCAGCGACCTGTAAGGCCGAGGCTACACTTGGAGAACCGGTGCTCTAGGGCCAAATCCATTCTTCTTGCCCTGGCTTACAAGTCCCCCGCGCTGGCGCTAATGCCTAATTCTCCAGCCCTAGACGGTGCTCCCCAGCCCTCCTCTCGATGCTCATCACACAGTGAATTACTCCTTTCCTCCAATGAAGCAAACGCCTCCCGCCCACCTCCAGGTCCCAGCCCTCTGTTCCCGCTGCCTGGTCCACCCTTGCCCTCGCCGAGTCGCAGACCAGGTCAGCCTCGTCATTCCCCGCAGGCTGCCGCGCATCCCACCTGTGCGGCTCACCACAGTTGTATTTAAGTGATCGTGTGAGTCGTCGTTAAATGCCTGTCTCCCCGTGGACCGTGCGCTCCTCGAGGACAGGGACCCGCCTATCTGTCCACCGCTGTAAGCCCCGCGCCGGGGCTAACGCCCACTGGAAGGCGCTCATCAGATAGCTGCTGGACGTTGACGAAGGAAGCGGCGGCGCAGCTTAGGGACCTCCGAGTCAGGGCGGTCGGCCAGACCGACGGGGTAACGGGTTTAATCGTGTGGGAATAAAATTATGTCCCCTTGCTTTCAACCGGGTCTCTCATTCCAACCCCTTTCCAACCTGAATAAATCTTCCAATCACTTCTGGTCACTTCCAGAGTGACCCTGAATCCCTCAGAGAACGCCCCGTCGACAGTTTGGCGGCGGGGGCTACTACTGGCGCATGAGATGTCCGCAAGCAGTAGGGACTCCATCGGCGGGGCGACACCTAGCCAGCCGAGATCCCAGCCCCAGCGCCGGAAGCTCCAGAGCACAGAATCTGGAACCGGAAGTGGCTACTTCCTGCCCCGCCTCCTGACGCGGGGGCGGGAACCGAGGGCCTTTCGGAAAACCCGGCCGGGATTTCGCTCCGCTACATTCGTGGGTTGGGTGGGGAGCGTAACCCCGCGGGGTGGAGTGACCCGCTCTTTCTCCGCCTGAAAAGCTTCCCGCGGGAGTTTTAGTCGTGTTCTTATTGGGGAAGGGAATGTCAAATTCTGCTCCAGCCTTCCCCCGCGGGCTGGAGACAGGAATCTTTATTGCAGTTCAGTGCGGGGCGACGTGGTCTCCAGAATCGCGGAGTGCGGAGGTGGAGGACAGTGGAGCTAGGAACTTGGGCTCCTGGGTTCTGGCCCCTGAGCGTCCAGCGCTCCCCTAGTCCGCGGCCCTGGCTCCTGTCCTCACTTCCTTCCCCTTTTGGCTCCTGCTCTCGGAGCGGGCGGACGCGGCGGGGAGCGGAAAGGGCGGGAGGCCTAGGAGCCCGGCGGGGGGGTTTCAAGGGGTACGGAAAAGCCGGGGAGGGGACTCGGTCCGGGTCCGGAGACGGACGGCAACAGCGGCCCAGGACCCACGCTGCCCCCACCCCTCCCGAGCAGGTCAGAGCCTGAGCACCCTGTGACCCTGCGCGCCCCCGTACTCGTGACCCCGTTCTCCCCCAACTGCACCTAAAGGCCCCCCATTCCACCCCATTGTTGCCCCCTTCCCCCAGCTTTCCTGCAGAACTCCCTTCCAGTCTTCTTGACACCCACCCGCGTCCCTTCCCTGCCCCGCTCACCCGCGCCCTCCTGACTCTCCACCCCCACCCCACCCCGTCTCTCCCCAGGCGCCCCCATGGCCCGACCCCGCTGATTCCTTCACTCGGCCATGCTCCCGCGGCCCCTGCGGCTGCTTTTGGACACGAGCCCCCCCGGGGGAGTCGTACTGAGCAGCTTCCGAAGCCGGGACCCGGAAGAGGGTGGGGGCCCGGGTGGCCGGGTCGTGGGCGGGGGGCAGGAGGAAGAGGAGGAGGAAGAAGAAGAAGAGGTGAGACGCAGGTGGTGGGAGGTAGGGGGCGTATGTATTTCTGAAGTCTCCACCTTTCTCTTGTCTCTGGGTCCCTACATCTCCTCCTCCTCCTAGTCTCAGTTATTCTCGCGCCTCCCTGGGTGTCGGTCCGTTTCCCTGCGGCGGGGAGTCCTGGCGTCTCTGTGGTTCTCTGTCAGTGTGACTCAGGACCTGCTGGCAGGAACCTGCCCTGTTCCTGCCTGGAACTTCTGGCTGGCTGTTCCTTCGGGTCTCTGGCCCTCTCTGCCTCTGCCTGAGTGTGCCTGCCTCTCTGAGCATAGTTGTGTCTTGGTCCCTCTCTCCCTCCTTGTTTTTGTTTGGCGGGGAGGGGTTTGTTTCCACAGTAACCAGCTCCTCTGACTCTGGGATAGGGGAGGGAACCCTCAGATTTCATGACCCCTCCTCCCCTCCCTCCCCCATTTACCCCCCCACCCCCAACGCCGGGAAGTTGCCAGTTCCAGAACAGAATGGTCACTTGTTTTCATTAGGGATTAATGGTGGTGGCCAGGAGCAGGATTTAGGGTCTCAGGAGGGGCCACAATTTGGATTTGGGGCCCCGAGGCCCTAAACTCCTAGGTCCAGATACTAGGTGAGGGCAGGGTGACTGGCAGGGCTGGTTTTTCGGGATCGGTCGGGGGAGGGGCTGGAGCCACGTGATTCTCTGAGTCTACCCCCCCCCCCCAATCATCCCACTTCCCCTTTTCCTTCCTGTACTAGGATTGGAGCTGCTACCTTCGAGGGTCCCTTAGGGCTGAGATAGTGGAGGCGCTACCCGAGGGACCAGGGTGAAAGGGGGCCTGAGAAGGACTAATTCTCTAGGCTGGTCTAGTCCTTGGTGGGGAGGGGCGGGGCATGCGGCAGTGCCTGGACTGAGGTTTCAGCTACTCCAGGTCGCTGCCTCTGGCTGCCCACTCCTGCCCTTTGTACTCTGCTTCTCTGTCTTTTGTGGGTTCAGCTCTGGGGGGAAGGGGCTTTGGGGGTCTCCAGGATCAGGATTCCTGTACTCCATCCACCCCTCCACTGCAGCCCCTTCGACTCCACCAAGCCCTGAGGCGGCTGGGGTGGGGCTGCCTGGGCCCCAGTGGGGGAGACCTGGGGTCACCAGTCCCCCCCACCCTTCCTCGCACTCGCTGGTACTATCCCCTGCCACCACAGGTGAGGGGTACAGAGGGAGGAGCAGGGCCTGTGGTGAGGGCTGAGGGCAGTGGGGGGTGGCGTGGAACTGTCTGACTTCCCCTTCCTTGCTCCTCCAGGCCCCTGTGTCTGTCTGGGATGAGGAGGAGGATGGTGCCGTGTTTACCGTCACAAGCCGCCAGTATCGGCCTCTTGATCCCTTGGTGAGATCATGACCTTAGCTTCTTATCTCTGACCCTTCACTCCCGCTTTCCTTTCCTCTGGCTGACTTTCTGGCCAGAGTGCTAGGTTGGAGTTCTGGAGTTCTGGACTCTGCCGTGTGACATAGGCCAAGATTTTTGCCCTCTCTGAATATCAGCAAAATAAGTCTGGAACATCTCCTAGGTCTGGGATTGTCCTCAGAAATCTAGGGGACTGGGAGAAAGGGTTGGTGATCATCTCTCCGTGTCTTCCAGGTCCCTATGCCTCCCCCGCGTTCTTCCCGACGGCTCCGAGCTGGCACTCTGGAGGCCCTGGTCAGACACCTACTGGATAGCCGGACATCAGGGACTGACGTGACCTTCATGTCAGCCTTCCTGGCCACCCACCGGGCCTTCACCTCCACGCCTGCCCTGCTAGGGCTTATGGCTGACAGGTCAGAGTCATAAGGGACCCAGGGTCGTGGAATGTCTGTCTGGATTTCCTAAAACTCCAACATCCCACCACAATAGGCAAGGCCACTGGGGATTTGGGAAAAATAGACAGATAAATTCTCTTCTCCCCATCAGGCTGGAAGCCCTTGAATCTCATCCTGCCGATGAACTAGAGAGGACAACAGAGTGAGTGACCTCTGCTTCTTAACCTCACAGTCCCCTCTCTCCAGGCTGCAGCTTTACCTCTCACCTTTAGCTGATTCCCCTTCTCCCAGGGTAGCCATCTCTGTACTGTCAACTTGGCTGGCCTCTCACCCTGAGGATTTTGGCTCTGAGGCCAAGGGTCAGCTTGACCGGCTTGAGAGCTTCTTACTTCAGACAGGGTATGCAGCAGGGAAGGGTGTTGGGGGGGGCAGCGCTGACCTCATCCGCAACCTCCGGTCCCGGGTGGACCCCCAGGCCCCCGACCTTCCTAAGTCCCTGGCCCTCCCCGGCGATCCCCCTGCTGACCCCACGGATGTCCTGGTGTTCCTCGCTGACCACTTGGCCGAACAGCTGACCCTGCTAGATGCGGTGAGACCCTGACCTCTGACCCCTGTAACCCCTGACCCCCTACTAACCTCTCCTTGACTCCAGATCCTTTCCTTGCTTCCACCCCTTCCTGATCCAGCTCCTAACCTCTTTCACCTTCCATTTTGACTTTCCCCTTTTCCCTTTGGTTGTCACCCTTCAAACCCTATGCCCCTCTAGTTCCTTGGCCACCTGAGATCCTCAGATCCCTGGTATTGGAAGGCTGACCTCACTTGACTATGAATTTTAACCTCTCACTTCTACCCTGCAGGAGCTGTTTCTCAATTTGATCCCCTCTCAGTGCCTGGGAGGCCTGTGGGGTCACAGAGACCGGCCAGGACATTCTCACCTCTGCCCATCTGTCCGAGCTACTATCACACAGTTCAACAAGGTGGCAGGGGCAGTGGTTAGTTCTGTCCTGGGGGCCACCTCCACCGGAGAGGGGCCTGGGGAGGTGACCATACGGCCACTCCGTCCCCCGCAGAGGGCCCGGCTCCTGGAGAAGTGGATCCGTGTGGCAGAGGTGAGAGACAGGATTGCCCCATGGTTGGCTGAGGTGGCACGGAGAGGGCTCCATGGCCTTAGCTCTCCTCTTTGATCCCCACAGGAGTGCCGGCTGCTCCGAAACTTCTCTTCAGTATATGCTGTGGTGTCGGCCCTGCAGTCCAGCCCCATCCACAGGCTTCGGGCAGCCTGGGGGGAAGCAACCAGGTGGGGAGACTGAGGCACTGAATTGGGGTGGGGGTTCCTCAGAGGGCAGGGAAGAGGGGGTGACAGAGCCAGGCCTGTCCTTAGGGCCATTCTTCTCCCTTCCCCAGGGACAGCCTCCGAGTCTTTTCCAGCCTCTGTCAGATTTTCTCTGAGAAGGATAATTATTCCCAGAGCCGGGAGCTGCTCGCGCAGGTGAGAGCCTAGTTTCTGGCATTCCCACCTCTCCCTGCTCCCTACTGCTCCCCATGTCTCTTTACTTTGTCACTGCCAGGAGGTGAAGCTGCAGTCTCCTCTGGAGCAACACTCCAAAAAGGCCCCGAGGTCTGGCTCTCGGGGTGGGGTGAGTGACTAGTGGGCTGGTGGGCTTGGGGGTGGTGATTGTGAAGGAGTGAGGAGTGTGTTTGCGGGGAGCAGCCCGAAGTTGGGAAAGGGAGACACAGAGATGAGGAGAATGAAATCTGTTTTCTGAGGCAGTGGAGAGGGCAAGTGTGGAGGGATGGAGGGCCCTCACATCAATGGCAGGCATGTCTGATCCTGACCCCTTACCTCAGGGTGTAGTCCCATACCTTGGCACCTTCCTGAAGGACCTTGTGATGCTGGATGCAGCCTCCAAGGATGAGCTGGAGGTCAGTGGTGTGTGTGTGTCACTGCAAAGTGCCACTGGTTTACCAGACAGCTGTGTGTTGTGCGTGTGTGTGTGTGTGTCACTGCGAAGATGTAACAAGTGGGCTGCAGGGTCACACAGACCCCCCCCTTGCAAGGGGCTCTCAACAGTTGAGTGTGGGACTCTGGAGTCAAAGCCAGATCTGTTACTGTGCCAAGTTGCCTTGGTGATCTGTAAATGGGAAACTAGAAATAGCATCTACATCAATCTGTTATTATGGGGGTTAAATGAATTTGTATCTGTCAAATGCTCAGAACATGCCTGAAACGTAAGCACATCTAGGTTTTGCAATGGGCTCCTGCTGTATTGCTCGAGTTTGTCAAGCAAACAAATACGGAGACTTTGGGCAAGTTCCTCATTCTCTCTGGATAAGGAATCCTATCCAGTGGGATCCTATCCAGTCTTCTCATCTGCAAAGCAGACTTGTTGTCTACCTGAGATATTCAATTTAAAGGGTCAAGGGTTGTGACTGAATGTGGCTGTGTGTTTAAGAGGGGATATATTCTCTCAGTGGTCTGGAAGGTAGGGTTATAATTTCACCCTATCCCCATTTTCCTTACAGAACGGATACATCAATTTTGACAAGCGGAGGAAGGTGAGCGGAGTGCCTGGGCTGGATGCTGGACTTCCTTATCCCTGTCCCAAGAAGGGGAGGGGGGAAAAGTCAGGGTTCCCTGAGTTTTGGCTCCTGCAGTTTGAGGGCTCCTTCCCAGGAGTTTGCAGTCCTTTCTGAGTTGCGACGGCTCCAGAATGAATGTCGTGGCTATAACCTCCAACCTGACCATGATATCCAACGGTGGCTGCAGGGGCTCCGGCCACTTACAGAGGCTCAGAGGTGACTGGTGGCTGAGGTTGGGACTCCAGGGCTCTGGACATGTGTGGGGGATTGGTGTCATGTCCTGAGCTCTGCCTGTTGCCCCCCAATCCAGCCATCGTGTGTCCTGTGAGGTGGAGCCACCTGGTTCCAGTGACCCTCCTGCCCCACGGGTGCTTCGGCCAACGCTGGTCATCTCGCAGTGGACAGAGTGAGAGATTCACTGGCTGGGGGGCGGTTTCTCGGGACTTCCACTCTTCTTCTGATCCTCCCAATCTCGTGCCACTGCAGGGTTCTGGGCTCTGTTGGAGTCCCTACCCCGCTTGTGTCCTGTGACCGGTCCAGTATAGGGGGAGACGAAGTGCCTGCAACTCCTGCTCCCCTGCTGACTCGGCTGGCCCAGGTGAGCTCTGCTCCTGACCTCTGACGTTGACGCTGACCCTCACTCTGTAAATGTTTCTTCTTTAACCTCCCTGCCTTCATGCCAGTCCCCTCATGTTGTTTGTTCCTAGCACATGAAGTGGCCATCTGTCTCGTCACTAGACTCTGCCCTGGAAAGCAGTCCATCCCTGCACAGTTCAGCTGACCCCAGCCACCTCTCCCCGCCAGCCTCCTCCCCTAGGCCTTCTCGAGGTCACCGCCGCTCAGCCTCCTGTGGCTCCCCGCTGAGTGGGGGTGCAGAAGGGGCCTCTGGGGGAACTGGATATGGGGGAGGGGGATCTGGGCCAGGGGCCTCTGATTGCCGAATCATCCGAGTCCAGATGGAGCTGGGGGAAGATGGCAGTGTCTATAAGAGCATTTTGGTGAGGGAGCCTTGGGATGGAGTTGGGGTGAAGGATGGTGTCTTGTTGGACTGTAAATGTTGTTGGAGGTTTGGGCAGCCAAATGGAATTGAATGTAGTTTTAATTTTGACCTTTGGTTTTGGCAGTTACATTTTTTATCTTCTAAACTCCAGTCTTCAGTACAAGCTGAAATTTGTTTTATTTTGATGGCAATTTTGCATTAGTTGCTGCACCTTAAACTTTTGGTGGTCATATTAAGATGTCAGAATCAACAGCAGTTTCCCCACAGGGAAGCAGCCATTTCACTGGGTACCATGTCGGCTGGCTTACAGGGTATAGGAAGCCACCATATTGAGTTTCCCTATTCATTTTAAAGCCTTGGACACAGTAACCTTTTGTGGTTGGGTCCAGTGGCTAAGGGTAGAGGATGGGAAATCATGGCTGATTGATTGTTCTTTTGGTCTCCTGTCCTGCCAGGTGACAAGCCAGGACAAGGCTCCAAGTGTCGTCAGTCGTGTCCTTAAGAAAAACAATCGTGACTCTGCAGTGGCTTCAGAGTATGAGCTGGTACAGCTGCTACCAGGGGAGCGAGGTCAGAGGCCATGAGGCAAAGGCACTGGGAGAGTGGGCTGCTTCCACATCTGGGTGGCTGTGGGGGGGAAACGACTGTGTGTGTGCTTGATATCCACCCTCCGAACCTACAGAGCTGACTATCCCAGCCTCGGCTAATGTATTCTATGCCATGGATGGAGCTTCACACGATTTCCTCCTGCGGCAGCGGCGACGGTCCTCTACTGCTACACCTGGCGTCACCAGCGGCCCATCTGCCTCAGGGACTCCTCCAAGTGAGGGAGGAGGGGGCTCCTTTCCCAGAATCAAAGCTACAGGGAGGAAGATTGCACGGGCGCTGTTCTGAGGAGGAAGCCTCATTGGCTTACAGAAGTCATGGTGTTCATACCAGATGTGGGTAGCCATCCTGAATGGTGGCTGTCGTTTCACAATGAGACAGAAATTCAGAAAGGTGGCCAGCCACCCTGGGGCAGTGAAGTGCCACTGGTTTACCAGACAGCTGAGAAATCCAGCCCTGTGGGAACTGGTAATCTTATAACCAACTTGGATACCTGTGTATAGCTTCCCACCTTCCACCAGCGCAGCACACAGGTAGTGTTGGAAAAAGGGATCAGTTTCTGATTCTTGGCCGTATCCTAACATGTGAAGGGCCAAGCAAAGGCCTCGAGGCTCTGAGCCCCAGGGCAGATGGGGATGGCAAAAAGTAGGTACTCACAGGAGTTCCTCTTCCCACTCTGGGGTTTCTATCACTGTGACAACACTAAGATAATAAACCAAAACACTACGTGAATTCTATTCCCCTGTCCTTGCAGTGTGTATGAACTGGCTGCTATGAGTGGGGTGGGGAACTGGCTGAAGGTAGATGCCATTGAGCAGGAAGGGGCAGTGTTTTCTATCCCCAAGAACGGAGCAAAAAGTGAGGTACTTGGTGAACAGTTTCCTCAGAACAATGCTGCAAATGTGTATAAAACAATTTTAGGACAAAGGAATGGCAGAACAACCTTATGGGCAACATATAAACTTGGGAGGACTTACAAACCGTATAACATTACATGCCAGGATTTTAAGTCCGTTTAAGCTACATTCAAGCAAACTCTAGGAAGACAAGAGGCTGAAAAGTACTAATAGAGATGTCAAGACTGCTGGCAAGGAGGATAACCACATTTCTTGGGGCCTCATGTTAGAGAACTGTATTCTTCAATTAAACTTGACATTCCTCTCACAATATGACATGTTGTAAATGCCCTTCTAAAAGAATCATGCCAACCAAGATGAGGGAGAGTTAAAAGAAGGTTTGAGGACATTTGGGATTTCACTTTCAAGAAAGAACACCGTGCCACAGATTTCAAATGCAAGAGTTTGGACTTGAGGGAGTACTATAGGTGGTGTGTGTTAAGGTGGAAGGGGCTGTGGGGATATGCCTGATCAGGAAACAAAGGCAGGTGTTTTTACATTTTATTAGCTACCGTATAGATCCTAGAGCTGCCTCATTCCCTCCCCTCCCCTTCCCCCACCATGGGGTCAGGCCTTGCCAGGAGCCCCTGCCTTTGCTGCCTGGGCCCGCTGGAACTCCTGCTGCAGCTGAGCAAGGGTCTCTCTCTGTTGCTCTGACTGCCGCTCAAGATCCCGGAGCTGGGATTCGTATCGCTTACTGAGGAAAGACAAGCAGAAAAGGAGAAATTAGTGGGACTTACTATGGAGGGTGCTAAACTCAAGAAAGATTTCCATCTCTTTCTTGAGATCTAGAGAAGGGCGCAGAAGGGGTGTTGGAAAGGGTCTGGAGGAACTGGAGGACTAGGGGCGACTATGGAGAGCTGTTCTGCAATGGTTCCTCAACACCTCTACTCCAGTGGTTCGGTTAGACTCACATTTCAGCTGTGATATAGTCCAGCCTCTTCCCCACTGTGGCCCGAGCCTCTCCCAGCTCCTGTTTGACCAGCACCGGACCCAGAAGTTTAAAGACCACGTTGGACCCGTCCAATAGGGCCAGTTCCTGATGGAGGGATGGGACATATGTGATCAGAACCATGGCCAGTACAGGCCCCTCCTCGCCCCACAAGTCCCAGTCCCTCACCTCTTTCACGATATTATTTTCTGTTAGTTGTGCTTCAAGTTTCTGCCTCCCCGACATGGATTTACTCAAGTCTGGGGATGAGAGGAAAGGCAAGATTAGAAACATCAAATGTGCCACCTATCCCCACAATCCTAGTCAGGAAACGGATCTGAGGAAGTAGGCAAAGATGGGGGCAGCCGGTGAGTGAATAGGGACGAGTACTGATGCGGGAAAGTCTCCGCACGCGAAGGCCCAAATGGGGCAACAGACCTTATCTTGGTATGGTTTTGGGTTGAGTGCATCGGGCGAGGCCACGCTGACCCTGCTCCCTTACCCTTCTGTAGCTGTTGATATTTCTCCACTTCTCCTTGCAGCTTCTTTTGAATCAGCTCCGCCATGGCGGGGATGAAAGCTTAAGGGGAGCGAGAGAAGGGCGCTGGATCTTACTCTCTGGAAGGTACCTGAGCTCCCCTTTCTGATCTGGCCTGCGGAAATGATGGCACTCTTGAGAGGTAGCCCTGAGGGGGACCGCAAACTCCCCACGTCCCGGATATCGACTCCACCCTGTTCCCAGGAGATGACGAGCGAAACGCGAAACCCGGAGCCCCTCAACTGAAATCCTAACCTACTCACGTTCTCCCTTTAGTAGTAATAAACCCGGAAGTAAATAAAGAATGCTGGGAAAAGACTGTGCCGGAAGTTTCTTTCTGACCCTTGATGAGAAGTGTAGTTCTGACAGGTTTAGTGAGTGGAGTTCTGCTAAAAAGACTAGACTCGGACATTTTTAGGCAAGACGGGGAAACCAATCTGGAAAAAGCAGTCGCACCGCTACTTAGTCCCTGGTCCCGGACCTGCCCTTTTTTTTTTTTTTTAAGTCCCTCTTGTATAAGCTGTCGCTCGCGATAAGGTGCCAAGAGCTGTTCCGCCTCTCTAAAGAGAGCGTGCCCTCACTCAAGATGGCGTTAAGAGAGCTTCAGATTTGGTAGGCTGCTGATTGGATGAAGGACGGAGGGCTTCCGGGAGTTTTCAAGCTGGCTGTGGGGCAGCTGAGAGGAGTTTTACACGTGGATCGCCGTTCGGGTGGGCGAGATGGAGACAGCCCCCAAGCCTGGCAGGGATGTCCCGCCCAAGAAGGACAAAGTTCAGACCAAGAGAAAGGTAGAGGCCTCTCTGGGCGGGAAAGGAAGTTTTTAGCTGCGGAGTCGGGGGGCGTGGCAGAGGTGCGGAGTATCAGGGCTCCTGATCTGCCCGTAGAAACCGCGGCGATACTGGGAGGAAGAGACCGTTCCGACCACAGCCGGAACCTCTCCAGGGCCTCCTCGTAACAAGAAGAATCGGGAGCTCCGTCTCCAGGGAGCGAAAAGTACTCACATCTTAAAGAAGTCCCGGATCTCCAAGAAGCCTCAGGTCCAGAAGAAATCCCGAGAATGGAAGAATCCGGAGTCCCAGCGGAGCTTGTCCGGGGTGAGCGTGGGACCTAATGGGTGTCGAGGCAGGTCGCTTTGTACTTTGAGAGTGAAAGGGTTGGGGTTAATTTAAGGCTGTCTGCTAATTGCGTCCTCCTCCTAGGCCCAGGACCCATTCCCAGGCCCCGCCCCCGTCCCTGTGGAGGTGGTCCAGAAGTTCTGTCGCATTGACAAATCCCGAAAGGTGAGGTCCAGCTGCAGAGTTGGGAAGTGTTGGAGGCCGGGAGTGTCAGTGAGTTGGATGGAGGCTGGGCCAGGTAGCCCTCCTGTGACCCCACTTATCCTGTGGTTCTTCTGCCATCTCCTGCCTACCAACAATGTTATAGCTACCACAGTCTAAAGCCAAAACTCGAAGCCGACTTGAGGTGGCTGAAGCTGAGGAAGAGGAAACAAGTATCAAAGCTGCTCGTTCTGAGCTGCTGCTTGCTGAGGAACCTGGGTGAGTGGGCCCTAATCTGGGCCCCCCATTCTCTGCTTTATAGGACTCCCCTTTCTCGTTTTTATGTTGGTACACTTGCTTCATACTGGGAAGCTTTACTGCCGTCCTAACCCTTGCTTTCAGGTTTCTGGAAGGGGAGGATGGGGAAGACACAGCAAAGATATGCCAGGCTGACATTGTGGAGGCTGTGGACATTGCAAGTGCAGCCAAGGTGAGTGAGGAGGTAAAGTGGCCAAAGGGTTGATTGGTGGTGCAGGACAAGAGAGGAATGGGGGCTAGAAGAAGGCGTTACTGCAGAGAACTCATTGTTTCTTTTTTTTTTTTTTTTACTTCACTCTTTTCCAGCACTTTGACTTGAATCTGCGGCAGTTTGGACCCTACAGACTAAACTACTCTCGAACTGGGAGGTAAAGTTGAATCTAGTGACTCTTGAACTAAGATGTGTTTCCTTAACCACTTCAGCCATGCCCATTTCAGCCATTCTCCCTGTATGTTTGGGTTGTTGAGGAGGTGAGAGTCCTGCGATTTGTTTGGGTGTGAGGGGGAGCACCTACAGCCACATCTGTCTGCCCACCTGGAGAGGGAGAGGCAGGGCTGGCATGGAGCAGACCTCAAGTTGTCTGAGTTTGTGCTCCACTGCCTTAACACCCTGCCTGCCTGTCACCTCCAACAGACACCTGGCTTTTGGAGGGCGTCGGGGTCATGTGGCTGCCCTTGATTGGATAACAAAGAAGCTTATGTGCGAGATCAACGTCATGGAGGCAGTACGGGACATCCGGTCAGTGGCCTGACTGTCAGCAGTCAGTAGGGGTGAGATAGTCCATCCCGGATAGAGTGATAGCCTGTGACCTCGTTGCCCAATTGAACCACTCTTCCTCTGCCCCAGGTTTCTCCATTCTGAGGCACTGCTTGCTGTTGCTCAGAACCGCTGGCTCCACATCTATGACAATCAGGGCATTGAGCTCCACTGTATCCGCCGTTGTGACCGAGTAACACGGCTTGAGTTCCTGCCCTTCCACTTCCTTCTGGCTACTGCTGTGAGTGGCCGTGGGGCTCAGGAACTGGGTGGCAGCCCTTGGGAAGACCACTTCTCCTTTAGGACCCCAGGAGAAGGAATACAGAGGGCAATCAGAACTGGGTCATATTTTTCTCTCTCTCTCTCTCTCTATCTATCTAGCTATCTATCTCTCTCCCTCTCTCCTCTCCCTCTCTCTCTCCCTCCCTCCCTTCCTCCCTCCCTTCCTCCCTTCCCTCCCTCCCTCCCTCTCTCTCTCTCTCTCTTTCTCTGATCTCTCTCGTCTCTCTCTCTCTTTCAGTCAGAAACAGGATTTCTAACCTACCTGGATGTGTCAGTGGGGAAGATCGTGGCAGCTCTGAATGCTCGAGCTGGGCGGCTTGATGTCATGAGTCAGAACCCTTACAATGCCGTCATCCATCTCGGACACAGCAATGGTCAGTCCCTGGCTTAGTTTTGACTCTGACCATCCTGACTTGCTTTTCTTTTATATTTGTACTTCATGAGTTACCTTAAAGTTACCCTTTTATTTCCCTTTTTTATTATCTCTTGGTCTTGAGTTCCCATCTTTCCCAGGTTTAATAACCTCAGGGTTAGGTTTGTATTAGCAACTTTGGTTCTTATTCCCTTCCAGGTACTGTGTCTTTATGGAGTCCAGCTATGAAGGAGCCACTGGCAAAGATTCTCTGTCATCGTGGTGGGGTCCGGGCTGTGGCAGTGGATTCTACGGGCACGTAAGTCACTGGTGGGATGAGGTACTGGGAGTCACAGGTCGGCAGAAACATGTGGAAGGCAGGTGCTTTAGGAGCACAGACTCTATAGCCAGGATGACCAGGTTTAGATCACAGTATTACTACTGATGGACCTTATAAGCATGGCCATATTGCATAACCTGTGTGCCACAATTTCCTAACCACGAAGGTGGAAATATGAGTATCCAGTTCAAAGGTCCACAAACTTCTGTAAAGTGTCAGATAGTAAATATTTTATACTTTGCTGATAAGAGGTAAAATCAAAGGGTACTGTGTAGGTATTTAAATACCAAGAGGAACCGAATTATCATAATTTTTTTTTTTTTTTGAGGTGGAGTTTCACTCTGTCATCCAGGCTGGAGTGCAGTGGCGTGATCTCAGCTCACTGTAACCTCTGCCTCCCGGGTTCAAGGGATTCTCCTGCCTCAGCCTTCCAAGTAGCTGGGATTACAGGCACTCGCCATCATGCCCGGCTAATTTTTATATATTTTTTGTGTAGAGATGGGGTTTCACTATGTTGGCCCGGCTGGTTTTGAACTCCTGACCTCAGGTGATCTGCCCGCCTTGGCCTCCCAAAGTGCTGGGATTACAGGTGTGAGCCACTGTGCCCAGCTCACAAATTTTTAAGTTATAAAATTAAACATAACATGAGGCTGGACACAGTGGCTCATGCTTGTAATCTTAACACTAGGAGGCTGAGGTGGGCAGACTGCTTGAGCCCAGAAGTTTGAAACCAGTCTGGGCAACATGCAAAACTCTGTGTCTGTGAAAGATACAAAAATTAGCCAGGTGTGGTGGTACATGCCTATAGTCCCAGCTCACAGGAGGCTGAGGTGGGAGGATCACTTGAGCCCAGGAAGTTAAGGCTACAGTGAGCTGTGATCATGCCATGTACTCTAGCTGGGGCAACAGAGTAAGAGTCCGTCTCAAAAAAATAGTAATTGTGATAATTTAAATTCCTACACAGTACCCTTTGATGTTTACCTCTTATCAGCAAAGCATAAAATATTTACTATCAGACACTTTACAGAAAAAGTCTATGGACCTTTGAACTGGGCACTCATATTTCCACTTTTGGGGTGAGGAAAAACTCTAGCTTGGGCAACAGAGACCCTGTCTCAAAATAATAAAAATAATCAAATTTGATGTTTTTGTAATACAGAGCTACTAATGGGAAGAACCGAATTTCTCTTTTTGAGGATAACATTTTGCCTCATTGATGTACAAAGTTAGTGTTCCAAATGTTCAAATTTGATTGTAGCTATTCATGTTCATGCTGATCTGTAGAGATTTCATGTATTTGATCTTTGAAAACATCTTTTGACACAGATTGCTAATGATAGGTGATATGTGAGATGTTCCAAATGCTGTGAAGCATTTATGACTGTGTCACTGTGACTTGTAGTGTGCAAAGCAGCAGTGCAAATCAAGATGCCATAGTCTCTGTCATGACCGCTTGGCTGTGTGTGGTAGAGCAAAAGCAGCTACAGTGTAAGGAAATAGTGAGCGTGGCCATGTTCCAATAAAACTTTATTTGTGGGTATTGGAATTTGAATTTCATACAGTTTTCACAGCCTCAAAATATTTTGATTTTTTTCAACCACTTAAAAATGTAAAAACCACTCTTAGCTTGTAGGCTACACAGAACTAGATGATCAGCCAGGTTTGGCCCATGGGCAGTAGTTTGCCAGGCCCTGGTTTACAGCTTTTACTCATAAAAGCTATTGTAGACATTAAGATGAGTTAAGGCATATATAGTTTGGCACAGTGCCTAGCAAATAGGAAGCGCTGTGTTCATCACTGTTATTCGAGATGATCGCTCTCTCTAGGTCTGGCTGGTAATGTGAGGGGTGGAGGTGGTATCTGCTTTGGATTTCTGCTGTTCCTGAGAGTGTCTGCATTTTCCACAGCTGTTCTGTCTGATCTGTATTTTCCTCTGATTCCTTTCATCGTCCGGTATTCACTGGGCACCTGCTGTGGGCTGGATTCTGTGCTGAGGTT